TCAACCAGGATTTCACACTGACTGGCCTACCAAGAAGAATTCTGAATGGGCTTCCTCTCTTCTCCTTCCAGCCCATCTTTTAAACACTTTTGCAGCTCCTTGCAAACTGTCACTTCAATCATAGACACTCTCTTTTCAAATGGTTTTATTGCTCTTACTTTGCATGTGATAAAACTGTATTTTGGTTTTGTCTGCTTTTGCATGTCTCCAGGTGAGTTTTTGACAGCCTTTATAAAAATTCTGCAATACCACCAAAGCACCTGACACTCCTGGGATATGTTTCCTGCCACTGCAGACTGTGCTCTATGGGTTTAGAGCAATATTCCCCAATCTGGTGCCCTCCAAAGATTTGCAACTATAGTTCCAAATTGAAATTGCAATCTAAAACAGAAACATCTGGAAGGCACTAGGTTGAGCCTGGGGAGGGAGGCCTTTGTTCCCAGTTGTGCAGTGACTCTTTTGGTGGCATGTATTGCTGAGAAAGAAAGAAAGAAAGAAAGAGAGAGAGAGAGAGAGAGAGAGAGAGAGAGAGAGAGAGAGAGAGAAAGAAAGAAAGAAAGAAAGAAAGAAAGAAAGAAAGAAAGAAAGAAAGAAAGAAAGAAAGAAAGAAAGAAAGAAAGAAAAGAAACTCTACACTTGCTGAATGGGAGAGCCTCAAATTCCGCTCAGCTGGTTTAGTTCACACTGTGACCCTGCCTGGTTTCCTGCTATTCAGATGTGTTACTTCCCCTTTGTGGTAATGGCCTGTGGCAGTCGGCCAGGGAACATTATTAATTTCAGAAGTGGCCTGACAGCAAACCCACAGCGAAAGGAGAGGAAGTGGCACGGAGGCCATCTGTTGGTTTCGGCAGAACAGTGGGAGCCCAGCTCCACGGGCTCAATGAGGAAAGCAGATTAATAATCCACAAAGAGGAAACTGCCTAAAATTATCCACAGACCATATGAAAAGGGGAGGGGGAGGGGAGTCACTTGAGCTGCAGCTGGACAGGAAATTGCTAGAGCTGCCGGCAGGCAGGCACACTTTCCTGCTTTGAACGGCACGCAGTGAGGCAGACTTCTCCAACTCTGCGCCCTCCAGATGTGTTGGAGTTCAGGTCCCCCAGCCCCCAAACGGCATGCTGTCTGGGGATGATGGGAGTTGTAGTCCAACCTAAGACACTACTGGGTACACAAAAAATCTGGTGCCAAACCAGAAACAATTTGTTGCATAAAATTTGACAATATTGCACATTTAGAATTGCTAGAGTTTCATAAAAGCAAGCCAACTATTTCAAATCACACTAAAGCCTTCAAGTCATATGATGCCCCAGTTCATTCCAAAACACTTTTTCTTCAAATCAGTTCAATTTTCCTTCACCTACTCCCACAGCACCTATAAGGAAATCCAGTTCTCTAATTAATACTCACCTAGTAACCCTGCAGTTTCCCCCAAATTCGGTACCCACTCAGATCCTGCCCCAAGTCAGTCACTACACAATACAGTTAACAAAGGTCCTAGTTAACAAGAGTGCAGATAGATGACTGACATTGGGAGGGACTGGCATGTTCTATTACCGCCATATTTGGTCTGCTCCCCTTTCCTTGATGAACAGGCGTTAACAGGAGAAGATGAAGAGAAAACACCTTTCGCTTTCTGCAAATCAACCCATTGTGTAAAAGCTCAAGAGCATACACCATGGAAGGACTACTTTCTCCTGCCAGCCCCAAAGCATTTGGAGGTAATATCATGAGATTCAGGACCATCCTGGCCAAGGGCCCAGCAACACCCTTGAATCCAACACACCTGAAGGGTGCCAGGCTGAGGAAGGTTACAATATGGGGAAGGTGAAGAAACCGAAAACACTCAATGCGAAATTGCAACGATAACTTCAGGCAGACCATTCCTGTTGCTACTGGTCCAAAAGCATCAAGCAGCTATTCTCTGTACCCCAATATTTGTGTGTGTGGTTTTGTTTTTGAAAGAAAAGGAAAGGGGAAAGACAGGAAGAATATTGGGAAAACACAAGAGGGTAACAAGACAATGACAGTGATGACTGGACCTCTGCTAAGATTCTGTGAATGAGGCAAGGGTGACTCAAACCACTTCTGCTTTCATGGTTTATAGGCACTCATTCTAGACTCCAGCTCTGTGAAACTGACTCATTCCCTTCCTGCCCTCCCCCTCACAGTGTTTTGTTTGTGTTTTTGATTCACAACTTTTCAGCATCTGAAATCTTGGCCAGCCAGAATTTCTCCCAGTTGCAGAGAAGCAGGAAGTCCTCCTTTGTCAGCTAAACTGGAAGTTGCGGCATGCAACTTTCCCAGTGCTACCATCTTTTTGATCCACCGTGCTAGAAGGGAAATTGTCTGAAGGGTTTTAGAGAGGAAGCAGTGCTCCTCACATCAAGCAGCTGTTTTCTCACCCTGCCTTCTGGGTCCGTTCCTTATGTGACGTCATGTTATCATCATTTGGATCTTCCAGATGGAAGCTTCCTAGCATCGCCAATGAAAAGGCACTGAGGAGTTCTTCCATTTTGCTTAATGGATTATCCGTGGTAAGAAAAAAGATGGAAGCAATAGGGAAACAGCTCCAAAAGCTGGTGGGCGAAACCTTACATGCAAAACCCACCAGGCAGAGTGGATGTGAGGAAACAGCAATACTGATCCTTCCTTCCTGTTCTGGAGTCTGGTATGGCCTATCTCCTTTATGATCTACCCCCTCCCCCCCCTGCCCCACATACACACTGCCGTTGGCATGGTTTTGCAGACGGATCTGCAGCCTCCCTGGTCTGCCACGCCCACAAGCTACCCTGTTTATTTCCTGACACTGGAACTCCAAGGTCAGGGTAGTATGGAATAGATATTGCCACAAGAGCCAAGAAGCAGGAGTTGATTCTTCCAAAGGCAAATTTCCTTCTTTGTGGCCAGACCCATTTCTCTGTTGTAAGTGGGGTGGTCCAAATCATCTTATGGACCTGGACACCTTCCAGGAATTTCAACCCGAGCCTTGGTCATCCCTTCATCATATGGTAGTAAATCCCTTGCATTTAATTCTGCTTTGTGTGAAGAAGCGCTTCCTTTGTTTTAATTCTCCTGCCAGTTGGTTTTGCTGGGTCTTACAGATTTCTGGTATAAATGAGAAAAGCAGCATGACTGAAAGCTACAGCTACCATTTAGCACCAACTTCCACTTCTGCCATTAGTTGTTAGTAGTGCAGTACAGCAACCTTCAGATTTCCCCCCTTTAAATAGGGTTCTGTGAATTAGAGAAACTGCAACCCTGTAGTCACTTTCTGAGAATGAAGCTCAGCTCAATTCATCTTTGGAGCAGATATGTATAGAAAGTATTGCAGAGTTAACAAGGTCCTGTTGCATCAAAAAGATGCTAGGCATGAAATCCCTCAACAAGACTTCTCTGCAGATGTAATGGCTTTGTATTATGAAATTCCAATCCTAAATAAATTTTGCTTGCAGTATTGGTTGTATGCATTTACAAGTGAGATGAAGATTACACACTAGATGTTCAGTTGACATTATTAAATGGGCATATAAAACCCATCACTTACTGGACTAAGTGTTAAGTAAGCACTTTCAACATGTTTCACCTGTATTGCCTTGTTTTAACCCTTGTAACTACTTCAGCAAGGAAGTACTATATTATTTTCGTATAGCTGATGTGGTGCTCGGACTATGAGTGTGGTTTGGCTGAATTTACCTGATCCGTATGTTGAAGATGTTACGAGATATAGCACAAGGACTGGACAGCCTGTACCTGTTTTCTATCTATAATACAATGTTGAGCAGGCTATATTTCATTTTGCAGAAACCACCTACATTATGGTACACCAACCTAGCAATCCGGTTTGTTTAGTAGTACAAATTGCAGGATGGCTTGAGAACCTAGTTGAAATCTTGGCTCAGAGAACAAAACCTGAATTTCCACTCTCCCTCCCTCCCTCTCCCTCTCCCTCTCTCTCTCTACATATATATGAAAGGCTGGTGTGTGGAATGCACTAAACAGACATTCTTTATATAGAAAAAAGGGCTATGTGAATATTCATTTCATTATAATGGAAAAGACAGCAGGACCACCTGCTGCTGCAGCCTAGATACACACGAGCTCTTTGCACTAAAGAATCTCTGTATTTTTTAAAGTAGATGTGACAAAAAGAGTGAAATAATATTTTAGATCATGTCATAGTTTTAATCTTTATCAAGCCCACCTTTAGATTCATGGATGGTTGGGAGAGAAGAGGAAAAGTCATGCATGGCAAAATGGCAGGTCTTGTGTACACACTTTCATGGAAGATGGAGAGAGAAGAGCTAGGAAAAGGGTGTATTAACAGGCACCCAAAGGGAATAATTCCGGGCTTCATTTAACTGTACACTGGTTTACCCATGCACGTTTGTCACAATGGTAACAGCATCAAGGGTTGACTTTTATTCCTGAATGATCTGTCCAAAACCTAACATAGCCTTCC